TGCGGCTAATAGCCATTGATGGACTTCTGCTCCATATGCTTATCTAATTCCCTCTTGAAACTGTCCATGCTTGTAGCCACTGCCACCTTCTGTGGCAGTGAATTCTATGTGTTAATCACTCTTTGGGTGAAGAAGTATTTATTCAAAGTTCCCAAAAAGTATTATGAAGTACTTCACCATATGTAAACTACATTGAATTTCTTGCTTGTTAATGTATTGACCAAGTTCAGTTCCAATGCTGATATATGTATTGATTGTTTATTACTGTTTAAAATACAAATTTAAATTTTGGGGGGGGAGTACTTCCTTTTATCTGTTCTAACCCGACCGCTCAGCAGTTTCATGGAGTGCCCACGAGTTCTTGTATTGTGAGAAAGGGAGAAAACTATGTCTTTCTCAACCTGCTCTATCCCATGCATAATCTTATAAACCTCGATCATGTCACCCCTCAGCTGTTGTTTCTCCAAGCTAAAGAGCCCCAAGCGTTTTAACCTTTCTTCATAGGGAAAGTGTTCCAACCCTTTTATCGTTCGAGTTTCCCTTTTCTGCCCTTTTTCCAATGCTATAGTATCCTTTTTGAGGTGTGGTGACCAGAACTGTACACAGTACTCCAAAAGAGGTTGCACCATTGACTTATACAGGGGCATTATGATACTGGCTGATTTGTTTTCAATTCCCTTCCTAATAATCCCCAGCCTTTTTTATTGCAGTTGCACACTGTCTCGACATTTTCATTCTTCTTACATTGTTATCCGCTCTTTTTCGCTCTTCCATTTTAATCTCACAAGAACCCTGTAAGGCAGATTAGGCTGATAGGGTGACTGACCCAAAAATCACCCAGCAGACTTCCACGGCAGAGTGCCTGGGTCTCCTGGATCCTTATCCAGTGCTCTAACCACTACCCCATGCTGGCTCTAGTTTGTATTCCTGATAGCTGTTACACAGCTAAGGAGTCTTGTTTAATGGAAACCTGAGCATCCTTCAGAAGCCTTTGGTTGCTAACTGGTATGGAGGATGGTGTTTATCAGATCCAAAGAGTGGGAAATGGCATTTTATCTATCATTTAAAATTTAAACATTGATTCTATATTTGTCCTTAAATCTTACGCCTTCATTATGAAACAGGCTGTAAATGTAGATCATGAAATTACTCCTCTGGGTTAATTGAGATTCATCTAGACCAAATAAAAGAATAAAGTTGGCATTGGACTCAGTCCAGTGGAAAGTTCTTCTGCAAAAACCCCATTGAAATGAATGGGAGCAGAAGAGGACTTCATTTCAGTATGGCTTGCACAGAAGAATTTCCTGGTGACAGGCTGATAAAAAGTTGGCTGTGTTGCTGAGAAAGGAATTCATATTGCCAGTACTATTCCCTGGCCGGTGGGCTGGCATGTTGTCTACTGCACTAGGTCTTGTTTAGGAATGTCAAGACTGTATTCCAACTCTGACAATTCTTATATGTATTGTACGCTGCTGCATTGTTAGCCAAATTGCCTTTCTTTGATAGAATGGGGGATTTGAATATTAAATCGCAATGGCTTTAATTAAGGGAACAATAACCTATGTATACTGGACTCCAACTTATCCAGATCCCCAGAAATAGACACAGAGGCTAGATCTTAAAATATAGTGATTTCTTCAGTAATAATTCTCACACACATACAATAAAAATAAAACAATTATACACTCAAGCGACACAGAGCTAAGAAATCATATAGAAAGGTACAGTGACAATTGCATTAGCAGAAAGGTATCATTGATGGGGACGATACTTTACCTGTCTGATGCAACAAGGTGATCCTGCAGCGAAAATAGGGAGAATACTAGGGAAGGGGTCGTGTGTTAACCAGCAACACATGTGGGAGACTCCAAGCAGCGCTAAGAATGGAGCCAAAGACATAGGGTGGGGTCATGTAGGTAAGGTGAGAGAGAGAGCAATGGAGAGAGGCTTTCTTTAGATACCCTAAAAGGACTGGGAGGGGAATGCTTTACCAGTCACATAGTCCCCAGGAAATCTAGAAAAATCCAGTTACTAATGGTCAGGAGATGACCAGGAGAATAGGATTATTGGTTGGGCAATTGCAGTGATATTCAGCTAATGGTGACACCTTTAGAAAGACAAAAGAAAGAAAAAGGGTAGTAATGTCCCAGCTCCATGGATGGTCATTAGTTGTAATGGCCCAACAATCAGCAGCTGTGTTATCAGAATGGGCGGTGGATGGACGTGGCAGCTGCTTAATCCTCTCATGGCATAAATCCTTTTGTTTTACAGTGAAGAGTACGTGTAGCATTTGGTGCAGGTGAGGAGGTAGAAGGTGCCTGCATGATGGAGTCTCGCTATGGATTCTTTGCAGGAACACTCAGGTTTCCTTCACAGAGCATGGCTCCTTCATAGAGACCTGCTGCTGGTTGCTGCGTGCTTGTGGTGTCAGGGAGGTTGGTTGACTTCCTGCAGGGATGTAGGGGTGAGAGGCATTGGGTATTTTCTGGGTCCATCATCTGGCTTGGCACACTGCTTCAGGGTAAGGCTTCCCTCATCTGGGCACATGTCTGCAGTCCAAGAGGTTGGCACCCCCTTCGGGTTACCACACAGTCCAGTATCCTGGCACACTTATTGTACAGTCCAGCTTACAGTTTTAGTCCATAGCCTTATAGATGCTGCGTAAGGCTCTTGCAGGGCAACAGCATACCCCAGCAAAATCATATCTTGATGCATGGGTTACGGTAACATGCAGTAATGTCGTTGTCTCCTTGGAGAAGAAATGTGCATCATGCTAGCCTCTTTAAGCTTGTTCTGTGGATGACTTCTTAAAACTACCCTTAGGCAAATGGCTAAGAGGTATTTCTGAGGATTCTTGAAAAAGCTTTTGCCACCCACAGAAAGGTCATCGAAGAGTGTGTGCTGTAGGATGACTCACTTCCACTAGAACCTCTTTGTTTTGTTGACATCCAGTGGAGCCTGCTTTGGCCACTCTAAGCTTCACTTGAAGATTGAAAAGGTAGTTGTCACCAGACGTTTGTGTTCTCCTGTGGCGGGATCTGGTAGGATGGTTTCCCAAGCTGTGATAAGACTTTTTCTCTCTAGAAACTCTTCCCAGATGCTGTGGTGAGATTGCGCCCGGAAAATCCGTGGGACTCCCGTGCCTCTCCCACGGCAACTTGGCCGTGTGATCGGGGCCACAGTTATGCAAATGGATTGACTTGCAAAGGAACTGAAGGATTTGGTGTTAGGAATCTCCAGGTGACTCCTGGAGATTTCCCAGAATGCCTGCAAGGAGGGCTCCCAGGCTGCACCTGGATGGCCCAGGGTCCACTTGGGTTACCTGGGCAGACCAGGTCAAAGGGGGTGGAGAGTGTGATGCAGGGCCGTAGCTAACCCCTTACTTGTGGGGGGGCCCTGGGGAAAGAAAGGGGGCCGAAGTGCGTGTGTGTGCGCGCGCGCACCACACACACATCACTCGGTACTCCTAGCAATGAAGCGGCCCTGAGCACCGGCGCGAGGAGGCGGCGAGAGCCCGGCAGGCCGGCCCAGGAGGCCGCGGAGCTGGCTGCCCACGGCCGCAAGCCAGCGTCTAGCGCAGCCAGGGGGGTCCCTGGCCCGCGAGGGCTGCGGCTGAAGAGGGATTCTCTCCTCCCCACCTCCCGGAGAGACGGGGTCCCACCTCTGCTGCCGCCGAGACAATGGGAGCGAGACTGGGGAGGCAGGCCAGCGAGCGAGCGTGGCAGATGCAGCTCCGACTGGGCTCCTTCTTTCCCCTTCCCTTCCGCGAGGTGGCAGTGATGGGCGGGGGGGAGGGGGAGCTGAGGGCTGGGCGTGAGCGGATCCCCCCCACACACACACATCCCATCCGCTTGGCAGCCCCACCCCCACCCCTCCCGATCCTCTGCTCCCCGGAGGGCTTGGCTCTCGTTTTGCGGGCCCCCTCCCTCCCGATCCTCTGCTCCCTGGGGGGCTTGGCTGGTGCTCAGGATGGACGCCCCCTCCTCCCGCGCCCGGGCCACTTGGCGGCGCCTGCCTGCAGCCCAGCGCGCGCGCGGCTCCTTTAAAGCTGGGACCAGGCAAGCGAGCGGGCACCTTCAGACTCTCCCCTCGCCGCGCTCCGGCCGCTCTTCTGCCACCTTCTGCGCCTCAGCGCGGCTGACTGGGGGGGCGAAGAGAGGTGGGCTGGCGCGTCGCTGCTGATCCCGACTGCGCCAGCCAAGCCCCCGGGGAGCAGAGGATCGGGAGGGAGGGGGCCCGTAAAACTAGCAGGGGGGGCGGGCCCCGTGGGCCCCATGCAGGCTACGGGACTGGTGTGATGTCAAAATGGGTGGAGCCAGAGGCTTAATGAAAGTGCTTGCTCCCAGGAGGGAGGGTCTCTCTTTTACTCTTGGTACTGAACTTTGGGAGAGGACAGACAGCTGAGCTTTTCTTTGTCAATCTGGTTGCTGATCTGGTGCTGTGCTAAAAGTGTGCTTGTAACCTTTTTCTCTTTTAAATAAACATTTTACTTTTTGAAGCTGGTAGTGTTCTCTGGACCACATAGTCCCCCAACTGCCTTAAACCATGCTACTGTAAGAGGGGAGTCCCAGGAAGGGGGAAGGCAAGCAGTCAAAGCGCCCATTGCCAATCCTCCAGGGGATCCCCAAAGAAGGAATTTGGACCCTGTGTTAAGCAGGAGCTGGGTAGCAGGAGACCAGAGGCAGAGCCTCAGTTTGAGAAGGGCTGTCAGGAGTCTATTCCTCCTGGCAGGAAGACCCCAAAAGGACAGTGGTGGCAGTGGTACCCTAGTGGGAAGAAGTGGAATAGCACCCTCCAGGAATTGGTATAAGCCAAGAAGGGGCCTGTTCCAACACACGATCTGTTTCCACACAATCCATTATAAGCGCTTTCATATGGAGGGTAGAATGTGGTCTGAAGTTACTGTGAACTGGAACTGTCAAAAGTTAAGGAGGTGTCTGTATAGCTATGCCTGAGGTAAATGGATGGCAATAACTTGTGGACTTCAATCTCTTCCCTAGTTTTGTGACTGCTGCAAGCATCCACTGCCCATGGAATGCCCTGTGGTCTATGCAGACCGAGCAGGCTATGATCACCAGTGGCATCCTGCCTGCTTTGTGTGTTCCAAGTGCTCTGAACCACTCGTTGATCTAATCTACTTCTGGAACAATGGAGCCATTTGGTGCGGGCGCCATTACTGTGAGAACATCAGGCCACGCTGCACAGCCTGTGATGAGGTATGATACCCAGGGTTGCTTGTTGATTATATGATTTTGATGTTCCAAGTCCCTTCCCTAAGAAGCAGCTGCTAAAGAGAGGTGAACGTTTATACAAAATCTTTCTTCCTTCTCTTCCCCTCAGCATAGTTTATGGGTGACCTGTGTGGAATGGAGTTTAAAAAGGTGAAGGTTTCCCTTGCTTGAAAGCTAGTCAAATCCAACTCTAGGGGGTGGTGCTCATCTCCATTTCCAAGCCAAAGAGCCAGCGCTGCCCAAAGACATTTCCATGGTCATGTGGCTGGCATGACTAAATGCTGAGGCACATGGAAGGCTGTTACTTTCCCACTGAAGCGGTACCTATTTATCTACTTGCAATTTCTTACTTTCAAACTGCTAGGCTGGCAGGAGCTGGGTAACTGCTCCTCCATCACATGGCACTAGGGTCTTGAACTGCCGAACTACAGACCTTCCGATCTGCAGCTCACTGTCTTAACCCCTAAGACACCGCGGCCCTTGGAATGGGGTTTAGGATAGCGAAATGGTCTTTTTTTGCATCAGACCAGGGATTCAGTTCAATATTTCAGGATTCCTCCTCTTCTTTTAACTGAACTGACTGGAATTATTAGATTATTAATTATTAGAGTGAGTTGTGCACCCATCTTTGTTTGAATGATCAGAAGGTGTTGATTTACAGAGAACCTCAAACATTTTCCTCCCTTGTTTGTTTGGAGGGAGGGGAGATTTATTGCTGCCTGTTGTGTACTCCTTTCTTCTGGCAGCGGATGATCTCATGCTCCTTTTTCTTGAAAAAATGAAGTATGCTTTGTAAAAACAAAAAAAAGGAAAAGCTGGTGTGAGCAGTTTTATGTGGGTATGATGGTGAAATTATGGCTGTCAAGGGCTAAGGAACTTCTCTGACCTCCATATTCAGAAACTAGGAACATTTATCCCTGCAGGTTTTTAATGACGAAACTTGATACAGTTCAGTTCCCACATAGTGCAGTGCTCCAAAGGGTAGAATGTAAACATGTGAGATGAGCTAGAGTAAATGAAACTTATTACATAATGAACCATGGCTGTTTGAAGATGGGAGCACACAAAGGTGTATACTGGGTGTGGATAATTCGGGTGCATACAGGATTGATGGCAGAGAGAATCTCCCTGATACAGAGGTCATCTGAATTGTTGAAATATGAGAAATCTAATCACTGTATCTGGGAATGGCTAAATGCAGAAGCAAGTCTTGTTTCTGTTTCATGACTGAGATTGCGTGGGCATCGTGTTTCTGCAGAGGAGATGAGGAAGCTGAATCAGAACTGATAGAGGCAAGAATGGTTCCTCATGGGGCTTGGACCATTCAAGGAGCATACCGGGAGATCCATGTTTAGTTAGTTGCATCCATGCATAAATAACATTCAATTGACATGTGGTATTGGAGGAGAGTTTAACAGGTACTGTGGACTTCCAAAGACAAATAAGTGGGTTCTGGATCAAATCAAGCCTGAATTCTCCCTTGAAGCTAAAATGATTAAATTAAGGCTTATCGTACTTTGGTCACATCATGAAAAGACAAGACTCAATGGAAAAGTCAATCATGCTAGGAAAAGTTTAAGGCAGCAGGAAAAGAGGAAGACCCAACATGAGATGGAGTGATTTAATAAAGGTCTTCATGATAGAATGTTTTGGAGGTCATTAATTAATAGGACTGCCATAAGCTGGAAGCAACTGGATGTCACACAGCACACACAAAGATAGCCAAAATATTACAGTAAATTTGAAATGAAGTTGCATTTCAGTAACCATCAGCATTTTAAGAATATGCTTGAGTTTCATATTGCTTTAAGCTATGTGGGAGGTGCCCTGTAAAAATCTAAATATAAACCTTTTATGTGGCTTTGTATTAACTAGGCCAAAATGTTCCCTTTGTGTATGTTTACACATTCCCTTTCTATGCAATGCTAAATACTAGTGATGTGTTCATTCTTTGTTAACTATTCCCTTTTTGTTTGTACAATGGACTTGGCCTATTTAAGAAATGACAGATGAAGTTGTTTACTTCCACAGATCATATTTTCTGAGGACTACCAGCAAGCTGAAAGCTTCACCTGGCATAAGAAGCACTTTGCCTGCTTGGAGTGTGAGACATTGCTTTCTGGCAAACCCTTCATCCTGGATGGTGCCAACCTGCTGTGTACAACTTGCAGTAAAAGCAAACAACTTTAAACAGCATGTGTATTTTCAAAACCCAAAGTCTGTTTTCTGACTCAGAGAAGATATGATTTAATGGGCCAGAAAATGGTAGGGAGTTGGGTCATAAGGGAAGGAAGTCACTTCATGTTGGGTTCAGACTTCTTGGGCTATTCACCAGCACAAACTTATAGGAAACTGGATGGAGAATGATCACATGGTGGGAAACATGCTGTGTGTGAAATCTAGAAAATGGATTGTTCTAGCCCTTTCTAGAGACATTGAGCAGAACCTAGGAGCCACTGTGCTCAATTACAGGGGCAGCATCTTTATTTGTTTTGGGTTTTTTTTGTTTTTAAAAGCTTTTTAAAAAGCTAAACTAGGCTGTCTAAAGTTATTCAGATTCCTTAATTCGCCTGTCAGATCTTGCCCCTTATTAAAGTGCTATTAAACCCTCAAATACTTACAGCAGCCAAACTTGTGACTTGAACGGACTGATAGCTTAGGGATCATCTGGGTGAACAAAACATTCATAACCCTGGAGTTCGACCGAGGGTTTTCCTTGTTTGTTACAATAAGCCGCTTCTCATCTTTTGTTAGTGCATGATGACTATTTGAGTACTGGTAGATTGCTGTAGTAAACTCTTAACATCTTAAAACACTGCAAGAGTAGCTTATGCAGGCTAATTGGAAACAACGTGGACTGCGCCTAGCATATGAAAATGGTAGCTATGGCTACAGTCAAAGGAAAACGAGTTAGCCTTTTCCTTCTTAGTTTTAATTGGCTTTCCTGGAATAGATTTTGTCATTTCTTTTGCAATGTTTTTGATCTGCATATCCTGCATAATAAGTCACCTTTCTTATATCTACTCATGGTATCTAGAAAATCTTTTCTGATTGGTCCTTGGCCTAGTGACCAATTTGGTTCATATTTCAAGAATTCCTACACATGCAACTGACCATCATAACTGTGTTGGGAAATTAATTATATTGGATCTCGAGAAGCATACAGTTTCTCTACTTGCTGTGATCTGGTCCTTTCAGAGACTAAGCTCTGGTATGACCTTCCTCGTTTACCTGATGAATTTACTAATGCTTCCCCAGGGTATTTTTAAATATCTGAACCAGAGTAGTGTTTTCATTATGTATACCTGGAACTACAAGAACCTGTTCTACTTATTTACAGTACTCCACACAAAGCAGATGTGGGCTTCTTGTCCACTTAAACACTGAGATTTTAGGAAAACAGCTTGTCAACAAAGTACTTTGACATTAAAATAGTTGTATTCATAGCACTCCAACAACTAAGGATTGGCTTGTCTGATAAGAACATATTGAAATTTTTAAAGGTCCACCCTGTTTCCTGATCTTTCCCATGGTATTAGTAGTAGGATTTATGTTGGTATTGCATTTTGAGTTTGCTGGTTTAAGCTTGTTTATAATGGATAATCTCTAGACAGTCTTTGTGAGTTACAGAAACTATACTGTGTTACTAACCCTTTAAATGGTGTTTGATTCTGCCACCTAGCAACAGTAACCTATGACTATACGCATCTTTAATAATACAACAGGAACTGAAATTACTTGACAGGGAGAACTGGAAAACAATGTTGATTTAGAAATATAGAATGTTTACCACAATTGATTAAACATCCACTCAACAAACTTACTTCACTTAAAGAATGTACAGAAAAAAGCTTGTTTATGTTATATACAAGATGCATTTTAAAAACCTCAAAAGATTTTTTTTTCATATACTTGGCTGTAATGTCTCAAGATTTTCTTTTCTGGATGCAGAATGCTCAAATGCAAGTACCCAGCAAAGGGGAATATCTAGTAGTTCAGCTGCATTGTATTATGACCAAACACATTAGTACAGACCTTTAAAAAAAAAAACACACACACACACAAACAACCCTTTTTGACAATGTATAACAGATTACCAGCATATTCAATTGGTTTTATATGAGTAAAATGCATTGCAAACTGGTAGGACTATTTGGAGCCATTTTCTCAGTTCAGTGTATTAGTTATCCTGAGGAACATGTTTCCTAACTCTGGACAGAATCAATATAATTTGATGTTCTGTTGATATTATTAATTTGGTTTTTGAATTATATTGAGTGTTTCCAGCCTTATCTCCCTGTCTAAAAGGCCAAGTTTTCAAACTACTATTCTTCCAAATGACACAAGACCCAAAACCTTCTTCCAGCACAGTTACAGTCCTCAGTTCAGATCTCTTAAATTGTGTCAATGCACATGGAGCTCCTATCTAGCACAAAGCTTTCATGCATTTTACCACTAGACAACTTTGAAAATCTAGCAGACCCGTCAACTATATTCAAAGGCGGAAGCCCTTGCACAGATGAGAGTTCCACATACCCATTAGCATTGCTGCTCATTTAGGGAATCTCTAGGTTGAAAATAAAAGTAAAAATCCAGGGTGGCTACTATTCAAGTTACTCATTATCAATGATGAGAGGATTGTAGTACATGGGCTCATATTCAGCAGAGCCAGCAAAGGTAGATCAGGGGCATAATGCAATCTTACCCGCACATCTGTACAAGCCCTATTGAATTGGACCCCTGTGACCTTTTTTCATGCTCATACACTTCAGTGATCCTTATACTAGAGAAAATCTTGTAGGATTGTACCCCAAGGCTGCATACTGAAATGTATTTATGAATAATTGGTTCCACTGAACACATTTACAAGCCTATAACTTGGTCAGTCAATAGTATATATGGAAATTGTCTTCTCAGGAGACATTTGCACTCAAACAGCCCTTCTTAGCAGGTGATCACTGTTATAATAGAACATTTTATGTGTAATTTAACACAGCCCTTGCATCATGTAAAGACGATCAGTATAAAATCAGTACAGCACACTTATTTTTTAAAAAACGTACAAACCCATTAACTTGGTATCAAAAGGGTCCTAATACAAGTGTGCTATGAATTTTATCCTAGTAATCCCCCCCCCTAAACTAGCAAATTAGGTTTGGATCCTATGAATGAATTCTATACTCCATAGATAGTCTCTGCCATGGAATGTGCTACCTCTGCTGCTAAAACTTTCATCTGCGCAAGATCGGTGATTTTCAGTACATGAGCAGATACATACATGAAGTTGCCTTATACTGAAGCAGACCATTGATCCATCAAGATCAGTATTGTCTGCTCAGACTGGCAGCAGTTCTTCACACTCTTAGACAGAGGTCTTTCATATCATCTTCTACTTGGTCCTTTTTAAACTGGAGATGCCAGGGATTGAACCTGGGACCTTTTGTGTGCAAAGCAAAGGATCTTCCACTGAGCCAGAGCCCTTTCCTCTTACATAGAACTCATTCATAGCTTCTAAGTTGAAGAGTTGGTCTGCACATTACAGAGAAGGAGGTGGTAGAATTCTAACCTGTTTCCCTTCAGAGGAGTGGCATGTTTGATTGCTCCTCCATTCAAATCTATGGATCGTCTCCTACTAACAGATGGTGGCTTTGTGCTATCTTGAGACTTTCAAGAATCTGATGTTCCATTACTGGAGTCCCACAGACAAAATGCCATGGAGTATAGATTACTCCTGTGAAGAGGGAGGCAAGGAATGGGACAATGTTGCTCTTCCACCAGTAGTGTTTCTCTTAATGCAAGAAGCTCTAGCTACAGAAGATGTGCAGGTGGCAAAGATCCTTGACTACGAGCATAAGACTCCTACTCAGTGAGCCCTTGCCTGTATGTTGAAGGGATAGAATCCAGAATTCTACTGCCTATCAGCATAATGGGCCATTCAGTTCTTTCCTTTGGATATGTTACAGTATAGTGTATGAACGTTTTGTTTCCTTATTAAACAGAGGGACTGTTTTCCACTTCTATTTTCACTACGACTAGCCTGGATTTTTACCACCTCAGCCTTCCAACTGGAAATAGACAGGGAGGCCGTAGCCTAGGCATGAGAAGTTCCTGAGGGGACAGCAAGGAAGTCAGCATTGGAAAATGGAGTGAGCAGTAGAGCAGTCTCAAAGTTTTTAATATCTTGACTCTAAATGTTTCCACAAGGGGTAACAAGGTTGTAGTACTGGATAAAGATGGTTATGTTTTCTGACTGTGCGTCTAAACAGAAAAGCAGTGAGCAAAGTTCATGGAATGGGACTTTCCTACATGCCCCTCCTATTAAGTCCCACTGAAATTCTGCTCCGCCTCGGGGAGAGGGTACACATACAGCATGGGAACAAACTGGGAAGGGGAGGAGTTAGCAAAAATGCCCTCTCCCCCGCTGATGGAAGTGCCATTCCACTGACAGAAAAAGCTCAATATCTGGTATTTGCTTCATAGTAAGTACTGAATTTTGGAAGGTAAAGCCAGTAACTGGCAAGTTGCTGGGAAGTCAGGGCATGGTCAAGTGCTTCGATCTGATCAGCATTCTAAGCCTGCTGTAGTTTGTGCTTAATTGGTTTGTTGCACATTGGTGAGATTGAAGACTGCAATAAATGTCTGTATCACTATTAAATTGTCAGCAGTAAACCTGACAAGACTAACTTTGTGAACTGCTTTGCAAGAAAACTATTCTTTATTCTAGCAAAGGATAGACATTACTGGCACTAACCATTCTTGTAAGACTGTCATAAAGTTTAATAGGATCCCTTTCTTTTCCTTGGCCCCCTCAAGCCCCTCATATAAAGATCCAGCCACACTTATTGCACTCATTTGGTCATTTCTTTCTTTCTCTCCCACATTCTGTCATCTTACTTAAATAGAGCAACAGGAACTAACAAACCAGGATACCAGGGAGGAACAGAAAAGCAGTATGATGGTAAAGAAGCATGTCTGGCATACTACTGTCCTCAACAGCCAGCATTTCACACTATATGTGCAGTCAGACACATCCTAGGCCTCTTCGTTTCTGTACTGAGATGGATTATGGGGGCACAGATCCAGCCAACGTCTCAGGTTTCAGAAGTAAGAAATCCCCTAATCTGTGATATGCTGTGATATCATCATAGTGGTTTAGGCTGAATTGTAAATAATATGGCTGCAGTACTACACAGTTAGACTGTGCAAATCCCATTGCTTTCACAGCCTGCAAATGAAATAGGAGCTCATGATGGTACACTAGTATCACATGGCTGTTACCACAGTACTGAAAGAGGGTGATGTTTTATGCAAATATCTGATCGTTGTGGGAGTTTTTATTTCCAAATGGCACATCACTGAGCAATGATCCCTCTAAGCTGTGGAGTCCTGTGAGCAAAAATTCTACTTTGTGAGCTCCTGGCATTAAAGTGGTATGCGAGCGATTTGGCTACTCCATCAATTAGTTTGCTCTGGAGCCATCCTTCCTGAGCGAAGACAAAAATGTGTGAGCCGGAGGCTAAAAAACTGTGAGCTAGCTCACATCAACTCAACTTAGAGGGAACACTGTCACTGAGTCCTGTATCACTGGGACGTTATGGTGCTCTGGAAATTCTTCCCCGTGGAACTTTTATGACTGATTTGATAGGGCACAGTTGAAAGACCCGCTCCCGTCTGAAGCCCCTTTTCATTTCAGTGGGGGGACTACAGGTGCAGTAGCACTTGGGAGAGTCTGCCCCTCAAGTCAACATGTATAGTATGTGAATAATAATTATGTATGTTTAAGCTGTGTAACTTACAAATATCTAACACTTTTTCCCCCTAAGAGTTAACTGACAAGACATGGACATGTTTCTAACTGCTTAAATAAAAAAATTAAGTATTCAATAAATAAAATATTCAAAATGAAAGCTTTCGGGAGAGGGTTTCTTTTTCATCCACTGAAAACCTGCTGCACAGGGATAAGAAGCACTGATTACTTTTGTTGGATGCCAGGCACATTTTATTTGACACTTGGTTTGTATGGTTTATTTCCACTTTCATATATGGAAGTCTTAGCAGATTTGCATCCTGTAAACTGAGGAAAATGTGGTTGGGTTTTGTTCGCTACTAAATAAATGCTTACACTGTAAAATTATCAAAGAAAACATCACCAGCTACTCCATAGCCCTGAACACACAACACTTCTTCACATTGATTGAATACATCAAGAAGGAGAGTAGGCCAAAAAAAAAAAAAGGAGAGTAGGCAGGAGTAAGCTGAAACCACCTCTGTGTGATCACTGGCCCATGAGCACAGTATGTACACACATAAGTACATATGCTCCCAGCTTGTGACTAGCAACAGTCAAAAAGCAGCAGCCTGATGATGGGGAGGGAACATACCAGTGGATACTTCCTCCATGCATACGCACTGTGCAAACAACCCAGCAATTACAGGGAGGCAGGGCCAGGGTATATGTGCCCACCCACCCTACCTGCACATTCAGTCAAATGAAGCTCACATTTACCAGTCTCCAGTCCTACCAGCTGCTGCTTGTGCCTTTTACTTCTGGGAAAGTGAGGCCAATGAGGCAACAGTGAGCAACAGAGTTCTAGTTATGCTTTCAAACCAGAGTTTGCAGCTGAAGTGTGAACCCTTTCATTTACCTCAAAGGAAGGTTACCCTGAATGTAAAATAACATCCCACCCAAAAAAAAAATAATACACAGGAAGTTCTGTATTAGTTACGTTAAGATGACCCACCACACACACTTGTTTTCTAGATAGTACATCTGGGGGGGAAAGAACTACTATGGCCCTGGTCACATGGGCCGGATAACGTGGGGGGGGAGGCGTGGCTATTTGCGCTGTCGCAGTTTGATACACAATTATGCATTCAGACGCAACGGCAGCTTCCTCCTTTGGCACCTGCGGCAAACAGGACAACGGGGGAGAAAGCTGCACGCCGGCGTGATCACACTGGGGGAATTTGCATGCAGCCTGTGGCAAACCATTTCCCAGTAGGTCGTCCTAGGTACTTTTTTAATGCGCATCTTTGGCGGGATGCCACGGGTTTGCCACGGGAGCGCTATGCCTCCCAGATGGTCCGATGTGATCGCGCCGGAAAACTCCGCGGGAGAATCGTGCCTTTAGCGCAACAAATGCTCCGTGTGATCGGAGCCTATATTTACCTTTTGGGGGTAAATACAGTAAGATGACAGACAAACTAGCAGTACCAATCATGTTCAGAATGGGTTCTTAGCTACCATGAAATTCTTGCCACGTGTCTTCTGTGAAAATCTAGTAAGGTGGACAGGCTGGATAATAGGGGATGAATTTAAGCAATTGCTCTCTTCACTTTTCACCACTTCAGTCAAACTATGGCTGTTTAGGGAATACCCAAATCAACTTTGGGTTAAGCCCTATGTCAGACCAGTTCCTCTGACAGCTTGTGCCTGCATTGAATTACCTCTTTTTCAGGGGCTAACTATTTATATCTGAGGCTACTCCTTTGGAGATCCAGACAGAAGCCCTTAGAAAACAGAATGTGTGTATTTGAGCACAGCTTCAGCTTAGTGAATAAAGCTCTCCATATAAAATAGACATATTGATATGTTGCCAGCTGTGTCCCTAGGGTCAGGCTGAACAAATTTCTTTCAACAGACAAGGCAGAGAAAGGCACTGTATGGTAGCAAAATAAGATTTTAAAAAAATCTACTGAACCAAGATCTGCCAAACCTGTTTTCCCTCTCAAAATCCACTTGTTTTTCAAAGCATAAAACTTTTCTTTTCCAGTAACACTGCAAGAGCCAGTACAGTGCAGCAGTTCAGGTGTTGAACTAGGATCTGAGGAACCCAGGTTAAAATCCTCTGTCATGAAGTTTGTTTAGACCAAACCCTCTGTTTGTGTGTGTGTCAGTCTAACCTATCTTGCCAGGTAGTTGTGACATAAAATGGTGGAGGTGAGAATGACACACTCTTCCCTGAACTCCTTGGGAGAAAGATGAATGTACTACATTTTTTAAAAAATGAAAAATCACCAATGGTTCTCAATTGGTTAAGAGTGTAGTTAGTAGTTTGTAGCTGATAAATTACTTAACATTATTTGCAGCATTATATTTCCACAGTGTAGGGATTCCTTTCAGATCCCAGTGGTGTGAACTAAAGCTGCATGATACAGCAGCTTTGATAAAGGGTCTGATTAGTGCCTGGGCATGGGTTTTCTGGGCATCTTCCAGATGTCACCTTGTAATATCTCAATATGAAGAGCTAGTCATGAGCAGAGAAACTCCAGGGCTTTATTTAATGGCTTGGAAAAGGGTAATAATCCCCACTCTCTTCCATATTATACCTTGGGGAG